TGAGTGAGCGGATAAAGAGATGCATGTGGAGTGTCTTGTGTGGAGTGCAGTAATTATGCAGTCGCTTGTATATTACCAGTATGAAAACCAGCAAAGGAATTAGAGCTGCAGGGTGTCATCACTATAAATGGTCAGTAAAGTGAGATCCTCTAAAAAAGTGCACACAATCACAATCAAACGTAAACAAGAAACAATTCAATTAAGGAGTGCATTAAAAAATGTGCAATCTAGACATTGTGGCAAACAGCTGCTGTATAGAGAATAACTTTATGTTCCTTTACATTTTTATTAAAGAAAACATTTGTAATCAAATGTCACTTCTAGCAATAGAGAATCAATTCTAAAGAGAAATTAAAGAGCATAACATGACTGGAAGTCAGGCCTAAAGGAACTGCAAATATTCAAAAACAATATTAAACTGCAATAAATAAAATATGAAGCTTCCCTGGCAATATAGCATTCAAGTGTCAGGAGACATGGGCACTTAATGCAAGTTAATGAAACACAAGAATCATGTTTAAAGACATAGCAATCACCGAGTACGTGTTGGAAGGTGATGAGCGTGTTGTTGAGCCCTCTGGCAGAAGTAGCAGCCTGACAAGAGATCACACTGAACACTGCCAGTGATTATTAGTATATGAGTTGGGGATGTTAATAAAAAAAAGACAAATCTTTCTTGTTCCTCTTTCCCCCTCGCTTCCTGTTTCTCTGATTGACTGACTGACCGACCTCTGTTGTCATAGCTCCACAGCTGACAGTGATCTCCACACATACATCACTTTGTACGTTCTCGACTGAATAGCGACAACGTGCGAGAACTCTGCATGAGGCAGGTGCCCCCGGGTCTGTGTTTCACAGATAACCTTTACAAGGAGGTGCAGTTCACGCCTCCCGGCCCCCGCACCTTCCTGATATCACATCAAAAGATCAGGATGTGGTTAAATTCAGACACTGGAGAGGCAGTCGGGACTTGGCATGCATGATTGATGTTGAGTTTGTAACATTAGGTATCATAAGGGATACAGGAGATAGCTTGAAGTGTAAGATTGAATTTGAGCATGTTAAAGGAAATAGGAAACAGTTTGACAGCCCTTGGTGTTTTATGGTTTCCTGCTGGTCTTTTTCTGCTATTGATATCTGACCATAGCTATAAAAACAAAGACCTACTATTAACTAGTGTTATGCAATGTGTCAACTCAGTCCTCCTCTCTATCTCTGTCTGATGGACCTTTTGTGTGTTTTATCTTCCCTGCCCCTTACAGAAATCCCTCACACACACAGAGAACCCCTCGCAGACCTTCATGTTTCAATTAAGGTTTGATTGAGTTATGAAATATACATGTCTTGGAAGCAAACCATGACAAAATGACATACATTTTTGTTGTTTGCGACATGACTTTGCTCAGATTTCTGTGTCTTCTACATGACATCCTATTAATTTTGTTTATATCCAAGCAGGTGGTTGTCAGTAAAAGTCATTTTGTCAATCAATTTTTTTTTTTGGACTGACTATTTTTCAAATGAAAAAATAAGTTGCTAATTTTGTCAGTGCTCTTTCTAGACACTGCAGGTTTAATTGCTAATTGTTAACTGGGAATGAATGCATTTGCATATTAATTAGTTAGCCCATTTGCATTTTTAATTTGCTGCCTTCAAAGGGGGTGAGATAAAAGGTCGCACAATTCTGAATAATTTAAATAATTTATGCTCCATTGGTGAAAAGAAGCTGAACAGAAGTGTTCTGTGGATATTAACCCCTGAGAGCTTTTACCGAATAAAGCACTCCAAAAATTGTTTTAACAAATCTAATTAAACGGAAAAAGGTCTGAACACACAACCACCCAGAGCACTAGGAGCTAGAGTGTGTCCTCGGGTACCAAAAACGCTCAGGAGAGAATGATGACGGGTGTATGGATATGGAGGACAAGACTTCCAGCTCTCCATCCGGATATGAAGGCCTCTCGTAGTCTTTTCATCATTCAGATTGATCAAATACCCCTGCAGGAACGCTGATGGAGCCGGCGCTTGGTAATAGTAATTCTCTCTGAAGTTAAGCTGCTTTTTGCAGTGTGTTGTACTACATAAGCAATCAAAGAGATGCATGTACTATGGTGAATCCTTGAAAGTTAGCCAAGACTAATTTCAACTACATGTCCAAGTTGTCATTTAAATGAATAGACTTCAGTAGCTGACGTATATTTATGAGATCATCACAGTATTTGTAGCCATTTGTTTTTCACCTTAACTTTCTTCGTCTTCTTTTCTAACTACTCAGGTGTCCATTAAAAAAAAACAATTAATAAATAAATTTAAAACTTCTTTCCATTTTTGGGCGCAAGGAGCTGATATTTTCGCTAGCTCTTCTTCAACCAGGTCCCGACTGTATTGTGAGACTGTCTCCTCTCCTTTGTCCCAGTGATCTTAATTACAGGCCCTGCACCATGAGCAGAGGAGCCCATTTAAATCAGAACACATCCAGCTTCCATTATGGGCTTGGCATTTGGTCTTTGTGCCCATGCTCTTAAATTACATGCTGCCAATCCTATTGGGCATGGGCAAGATGAGGAGCGGAGGATGGGTGAGAGATGAGGTGAAAGGGGGAT